AATGCCCTTACTATGGCCGAAAGACTGATATTGCAGCATTGGAAAGATAAATGTATGGCCCCTTTAGGAAGCAAACTGGTACATGCAGAATGAGGGCAGAGGGGGTATCAGCTGGTGGCTGTTTTTTGCAGCCCCTCCTCAGCCATCTGGAGAGAGGCTGACCAGCTCAAAAGGTGGAGTTTTGAGGATCAGGACAGTGGCTGTGTGGAAGCCTAGAAAAGAGATGACTAGGGTGGGATCTCTTTGTAGAACTCTGGATGGTTTTGCAAAGGTCAGAATTCCCTATTCTCAGTTCTTTATTCCCTTTTTGTAGGTCTGCCAGCCATTGTATCTCCCCCATTATTTACCACCACAGACTTATGCTCTCTGCCTGCAGATGTGAGCTATGCCAGTTATTCCGAGAGGTGCAAGCAAAACTGCTCCCTTCACCTTGCCTCAGAATTTCAATCCATCTTTTGACATGCTCAATGCAGTGTAAGTTTTTTTAAAATTATTTATTTATATATCACATTTATATAGCTGCCCATCTCACACAAAGCATTCATCCTCATGTCCCTCCAACCACAGCATGAAGAGCCTCACTAACCATTGTTAAGGAACAATCTTCATGACATCACCTGAATCTCATCCCTAGCCAGTTGCAGGGACAGCTAAAGTTGTCTTGAGTTGTTCTGCTGTTAAAGTGATGTTTTAACAGCACTCTTCTTCTAATATAAACCTTGCTGTATGAACAATTTACAGTTCCTCTGAGATAGTGTTGGTGATGACATGGTCAGAGGCTGGGATCCACCCATCTCATTTACTGCATACTTTTCCCCCTCCAACTACCAGGCATTGCTCCAACTAAGGCCATTTTGGCTTGAGATGCAAGCAAGACCATTTAATGCCTCACCGATGCTTCGGGAAGTGCCAGCCTGGCATTAAGTGAGCTCCTTATTTCCACTTGTATAGTGGCATTCTAGAAAAGTGGCAAACATTTTACCTATGTTCTAAAAGTGGCAGTCCTTATCTTTCAAGGGGAGAGGAAGGGGGAGGAGAAGGAGGTGATTTACTGCACAGGATACTTCCAAGTGCTGCCGGCCATGGACACTCACTGCCACCATTGCAAATCCTATGCGGTAGTTGGTTTGGGATATAATGGAGCAGGGGAAAATGGACAAGACTTGAAGACTTCCCTGTTTGCCCTTTCTCCTTGGGCTTTTCCTGAACATAGCTCTATCAATCTTCTGGAAGACAACATTAATGTCATCATCATGGAGAAGGAGGAGGAAGAAGAGAGGAGTATCCCAGCTGACAGGTTAGTGGAGCATATGAAAGGTATACAATGAAGCTGGGGGGATCTCCTGTTTCTCTCCACACTCTCCTTTACCACACTAACCTATCAGCCAGAATTCTTTTGCATGTGGGAGTAGCTATCACCTGAGAGATTGGCATTCCCATGCAAAACCTCTGATAGACCCATGTTGGCTTGAGCAACTTGAGTAGTAACTAAGCCTTCCACTCAGGCACTTATTCTGAATCCCCTCATCCTGCCCCACCACATAACATGGAGAACAATAGGTAGTTGTTTTTCCTACCAGGAGGTCATGCTGGGTGAGAGAAGAAAGGAAGCCCGGGAATCCACTAATTGCTGCCCTGAAACTGTCCTGCATTAAACCGGTACAGATTGAACCACTCAATGGCCTTGGTGCTGAGGCACATTAAACCACAATTGTGGGGGCAGTGCACTTTATGTCTACATACTTAAACACTTCCTAGGCATGGGATTGACTTTATTCTAAACACAATTTTTCTAAAGTTATTTATTAAGGAAATTACAAACAAAAATGAAGAAAATATTAGTTTGGAATTAGTTGGCAATTATACTTTTTAGTATAATTACTAGTAATTTAGTAATTCCTAATTACAATTAGTTGGCAAAAATACTTTAACTGAAAATAGATTTATTAAGTGCAAGATGTAGTCTAATGAGAAGGCCAGATTCTTCATAGGTTCCTAGGATAGTTTATATGCCCAGTGGGGTTTAAATTCCACATTTAGAACAGAGACAAGTATGATCTGCATCTGAGAACAAACATTCCTTCACAGTTCCAATGTATCACTAGTAGTCAGGAGTAAATCAAGATAGGAAGGAAAAGCTTAAGAATATCACTACACACAACAACGGAACCAGAAGTGTACCATGTAGCAATGTCTTCTAAAATAACCAGCCCTGAATCTTATCAGAGGGAAGATGGATAGAAGCTGGCGCAGACTGATTGATTTAATAGTATTTTTATATTGCTGTCTCCATATCAACTCTTGACCATTGACAAAAGGCTGCATAAAATCCAAACTATCAGTAAAACAAACCCACACTCCAAATCCTGGCATCTAGGCTCCTCAATTCCTGAAAGTTCTCCAGAAAAATTCAGTCTTAATTCCCTCTGAAAGGCTATTGAGAAGGTTGTCATTTGGATCTTCAGGAGTAACCATACCCAGGGAAACATCATTTCTCTGAGTCCAGGAGGGTGCTTCATCTCTATGGGTCTGCTGGATGCTTCCTCTCTATGGAGCTTAACCATGACTAATGGCCAATGCAGCTTAGCATATAAGAACAGGACACACACTATCCTGTGGATAGGTTTAAAATGGAAAATATTGACACAATTCACCAAGCAAGGGCCTGCAAGAAGATGTAAACATATTTTTTAAATATTCACGTCCAAAAGTCACAAGAATATGAAAAATTATTCTAAAGCAATGTTTTGCTTGTTCCTAAAGATGAACATGTGTCTTATTTCCTCTGTCTATAAACTCATACATAACCAAAGTTAGAAGTTTGTCAGGTTTTCTATGTTTTATGTTTCTCCAAACTAATACTTATATATCATTAATACAGAGCAAATATATATTAAGCTTCTATAAGGCCATAAAAACCTGGCTCCTTGTGTTAGATGTCCTCCCCAAATGAAAGATGTTTGAATAACTACAATGAAGGACACGTTTCCTCAAACCTTGTCACTTTTATTCATCATATTAATGTTTCCTAAAACATTATATAAATGCCATTCTGAACAGAAATATTGAATATAGAAGTTTAAAATGTTGGTATTTCTCCCGTTTATCCATATCCATATATATACACACACACACACGTTTTCTTTATGTACTTTTATTTTTGTCATTCAAAAAACCTCTATTTTTACTGTTTATTTTTTGTTGTTGTGGAAAAAGAAATACACCTAGACTTGTTCTATCAGCTTCTCAGCTGTAATACTGCACTCCTACTAAATACATTACTTAGCTGCAGCTTGCTCTTTTAAACAATAATTCTTAGACTCTGCCCCCCACGCCCACCCCGCTATTTGTATTGTGGCACGTATAGGTTGATTTGATGGTTTTCACATGCTTTGCAAGAGAAACTTTTCTCTACCTTGAAAAATCACTAACAAAAATAGTTCTAAGGATTACACACACACACCCCTTTTCATCTCTCTCTCACACACACACACAGCATAGGAAAAGGAGCTCTGATGTGAGCTGGGCAGCCCCACTTTGGTTGTATTCACATGACAAGCTGAGTCAGCAAACCCCCATATTCTAAGTGTCAAGTAGCTGTGTGATACGTTGTATATAAGGGAACCATTCCTGCCTGAATTTGGCTAAACCTCTGCTGTGAAGATACACCTTCTGTTTTTCCATTGTTGCCTATTCTTCGATTCTAATCTCCCAATCCTGTACCGAGAGCAAAGTTTCTCTTCTCCAGCGCTGACTGATTGCGGAGAACTAGCCGCCCTCGACTCTGAGACCTTTAAAGAGTCCTGCAGGCGGCGGCAGCCGAGGGGCCTGAGCAGACCATCCTCCCGATTGCAGAGCGCACAGAGCGCCCTCCTTCTGCCCTCTCCGGCTCCTTTACTCAGCCTGAGCAAAAGATCAATGCTGACAGAGGTGCCTTCAGTTCTTCCTGCTTTGCCCTGAAAAGAGGAAGGTTCTGCTTTGCGCCGGTGTTAACGCCCCGGAGCATCGCATTGGCCCCCTTCGAATTTTTACCTGGAGAACCGGGACTTCCGCCTGGATTCCGGGGAAGCGGCGCGGCACAAGCAAGGTTCTAAAGCGGCAGCCGAGGCGGCTCCACCGAGAAGGTGGAGAC